GACCTATCCACGTCATCATTTACCCAGAATGCTTTGTGTGCAAATAAAATGGCTCCGTCTGTGTTAAAATATATATTTTTAAAATTTACAAAACTAAACAGCCTACAGTATTTTTACAGTCTTTATTTTACAGTTAAATAGTTTATCAAATGAAGTCTAATGTTACAACTAATCATGGATCCCTTTAAAGTGGAAAAAACACATTTGTCTCGTTTGTATTCTCATCACCTCAGTTTGGTGGACAGCTATTCCCTGTCTCCTTCACTTCTTACCGTAGTATAATTTTTATCATCTGCTGCCAGCTCTGAATGCAACATAATGATTTTGCCCATGTCTGTGTGTGTTTTAATATCATTAAAAATGTATGATGAACCTCTAGACAGATTTTAACACACACCACTTAAGGTGGCCGCCACAGCTAAGAAACCTTACCAAACACAACAATGCTTATAATTTAGTGGATTTTTAAAGTTATTAACATTTTGTGTGGGTGGTAAATTGGACTGTTCTTACATAGTGCCTTTCTATCCAGGGTACTCAAAGCAATTCACACTACAGTCTGTAGTAGTTTTTAAAAGTCATTCACATTTGAGCACTAACTAATCACTAAATATATGTTTAAAACTTTACCTTTGAGTGTTAGTGCCAATTTAGTCTTTTAGCTAAACGTTTCATGAAGTGACAGTAAGAAAACCTGTGCATAACTATAACAGATTGGCCTTTTGTAGTTATCAAGTTGAAGATGGCCACCACACCCAACTGAACTCAGGAAACACTTTTGATTTTGACTTGACATTTTATTTGTAATTCAGGCATCCACTTACAGCATACACAGAATGACATTATGTTTCAGCGACACACTACAACAGGTGCACAAGGACAAGAAGTCCTACCAAGTGCGATTGCCTGACTGCACTGGTTTTGAAACACACCACTTCAAATTAAGAGACAAATTAAGTGAAATAATCTGTCAGTTGAAGACAAGAATACTAATCTAACACATCTTGCTTAGTATACTAATCTCATCAAAATAATTTCAAAAAAGCACTTTGGCTGGATAGAAGACTGTAAAACTGTCCATTGTTTCTTTTTTATTATTTTTTAGGATGATACGTGCCACAAAACCATCGGAAAACACAGTCATCCTAGCTGTTGTGCCACAGAAGTAAGCCTGAATTTTACTTTGATGTGTGTTATGGATATTTGTTGATTCACTTCCAGGAAAATACATTGTGTGTGTGTGTGTGTGTGTGTGTGTGTGTGTGTGTGTGTGTGTGTGTGTGTGTGTGTGTG